CCCTATGACATAACTTTGGTGAAATTTAAGCATGAACCCAACTTGAACCCAATAAAAAGACCAGTCAATTAAATATCGTTTTTTCTTTATATTGGAGGTCAAACAAACTTTGACTCAAATCAAATTGTTTGTATGTTTTTATTTTGCAAACAATGATTATCAAATATAATTGTAAAGTAGTTGGCAAAACATTTTATGGTTAGCCAGTTCTCATGATCTGAAGTAGAAAAAAAAGTTCAAATTGACTTACGCATAAGAGATGTGATGAATTAAGAAGCTGTGTGGGTGACATTTATGTGTGACGGTAGATTGACTTGAGGGCGGGGCTAGTCGCGAGGGTGTCAAGAATCTGATCGACAACGACTAAACTTTGAAGGAAGTCAAGCTTTTGATTGACAATGACCACTTATATATTACACTATCTTTGTATCAGTTGCGATAAGTGGCGGTTGAAATTGGTCGAAACTTCTAACAAACGAGCTAGAGTTCAGAGGGTAGACTCTTACCTCCACTGAAGTTTGCTATTCAGCAGGTGAGTCACATACAATGTACACGTATGTATGTATCAATTTCAGTCGGACTCAGAGAATCGTTTATTTTTTACTTTCTACCTAGCTCTCTGGAATAAAGCTATGTGACAAAGAGTAGTGCATGGTTGCCATGCAACTCGTGTCATGTCTGCCTTCTTCTTGTCGATTTATCACAAAACAAAATCCTCTTCCTCCTGCTACTTTTCTCTCTCTCAGTGTCATCTCTTCCTGTCACTGCTTTGCTCCGATCCCGACCGTGGGACCAAGTACCCAAGGTTACCCTGGGTTGGTTCGTCAGGAATGTGTAACGGTCTATTGTGAGAACAGCTTACATTGTTGGGCAATATGGGTCGCTAGCAAACTACTGAATTGGTCGCCGAGTGTCGACGGGCTTAGCAACGAACCGCCACCGCAGGAATTCACTTTTTCTTTCGGGTGCAAATAAAATAATAGCGAAATGTGGTGGGTTTAGAGTCTAGTTAGAAATTGTGTGATTGGTGAGTACTTCAAACAGACCAAGAACAAACAATGCTCTGACAGGGTTTGTGAACTTTCCATTAAATTGGCATCCATTTTAATTAAGTCAGGTAACCTGACTGGTACCTGCTGATGTTTTTTTAAGAAGGATCAATATTTTTTTTTTTATTATTTTTGCATTTTTTGGTCCAAATTTATTTTTCACATTCGTCATTTTTTTTACATTTTTGTGTAATTTGGACGGATGGTGTTTGTTTGCACGACGATCCATTTTTATAGCAACTAACTTGTTGTAATGATTTCTTTTTATCACAAAGCATTCGGATAAAAGAGCGGTATTTATTCGGATCAAGAAATCAACGTTATTGATAGGACGAAACAAGTTTGATCAAACAATCGCTAATTAAGTTGTCAACCTTGGAGGCAATTTGGCCTTGAAGTGGATGTGGTTAGAAAATAATAGAAGTGGACATGTCATGTTATTTGTCAAGCACTGCAAACTATACAACGAGCTGCGCATGCTCTGTTAACGTTTACCAAACCGTGATGTACATTTCTCAAGCTGGTATTCGTTCAAGATACTACTTTCCCATAAAGAAACAAGAAATATCACGATTGTTTAGAGGTAAAGGGTGATGGTAATTGAAGTCGGATTATGGTCGGATTTATGTGGTATGCATAGCAAAGTACTGTTTGAAGGGCATAACGTTGGTTTATGTGCAAAATCTGCGTTAGCCGTAGTTGTTAAATATTTGCTACTTATGTAAATATAGTGAATGACGATTTAGTGGAGTCATTACGCAAAGTGTGCTTTGGACTTTACCGAGCGAGAGCTGTATGGATGTAAATATAATGTAAATATATATTTGTTGTAATAAATTATTAACATGTTTATGCAAATCTCTCGAAGTAAACAAGACAATACATGTGTTTTAATTTATTGATGACATGATTTATTAAAATAAAATCTTGCAATTTAAAGTTGACTTATTTATGTTTTTAAGCAATAGTTTGATTGTTATAGTGAAACCTGTCTGCAAAGTCTATCCGTTCTTAATAGACAGGTGGGCGTTATAGGAAAGACGGCGATGTATATATATTAGAATAATAGCTGTTCTTAATATCACTTAATAACACCATAGGTTAATGATTCTTTTTAATACGTCCAATGGAAATATGTGGTTTCACTGATCTTGCCTTTTATGAACGATATCCCTGTTTAATCTTTGCCGGATGAGAGGAATGAAACTTGCACTTTTATGTTGAACACCACTGTTTGCAATTTTGTTAAGTTCTCGCTTTTTTAACATTAGTTTAAAAAAAACAATTCGCTCTTTTTTATTTATTACATTTGTTTAGATAAATAACAACGCTTTTTTTTGTAAAACATAATAATGAAAGTATATGGTTCATTGTTTTCAACAAGACGACAATAAGATACACGTAGTTGCTGTCCATAGGAGATATGTTTAATTGATAGCAATCGTCCGTAGTTATACATATATAATTACAACATGTGATTGTTATAACGACTACAGTGATACCTATCATTACAGAAACAGGGAGAATCACGGATCACTAACATTCCAGTGATACATGTGTATCTAGTGATTTCTAGGACATTTGATTACACTAACGAACCATCAAAATAAACATTCGATCATTAATGATCTGGTACTTCAGTATTCCAAATTGTCACCAACAAACGAAAACTAAAGAATGACCATATCACTGTAGTGAAAGAAATTGCTAAAAAAATAAGATTAAAATCAGACTCCGGAATGACAGAAAAATCTAGATTTCCTCCCAAATTCGCTAGTCGTTCAGGGCTTTTTTTTTTTTAGAATACAGTGTTACTTACATGCATAATCGTATTAGTTTAAACTGATACATAATAGAAACGTCAAGTCTGAAACTTTTTCATGATTCAGGAGCTGGAATTTAAAGATGTCAGCGCAAAGAAACATCAGAAAATATCAGTATGGCGAAACATGTTTTCCTCTTGTGTTGGCGCGAACCCTTAAAAACAAATGTGTTTAGGACTTAATGTTCAAAACATGTTTAAAGTTACTTTGGTGATCCGGGTATACTACTCAGTTGATTCATACAATCCTGAAAAATTATATCATACGAAAAAAATCTTCTTGATAAAATATGATAAAATAATTTATCAACGAAATCTGACTCGAATTAATTCTCTCATATCAAATTAAATGATACAACTAATAGGATTATGTTTATATGAGAGCTTGGCTAATGACTCAAGGATTTGTGCTGCCACTTTTTTTGTTTGTTTGTTTGTTAAATAAACAATAGAAATTAAGAAAGCACAATCTAATTTTGTTGTTGTAGTAAATCGTTGTTGAAATGCAAATAAAGTAAACGTTTACTCCACCGTCTGGTCCTTTCGTTCTTTTAGGACTTAATTATCTTAAAAATCAAAACAATAAAATTCTCTGTCTGGAGAATTTCGACGTATAAGTTGAAATACACTAACAGGTATCCATAGAACCGTTTCTTTTGTGGTACAAATTTCAACCTATTGGTTACAGCAGGGATTTTTTAAAAATTAGTATTTCAAGGAAACCTCATTAGAAAAAAGACATGCTACAGGGTTACCGCCAACCACGGGGGTTTAAGGTCCACCAGCAGAGTCCTAGTTCTTGTTTTCTGAAGTATCCGCCATAACTACGAGGGAAGGAGCAGCAGCTAGACACTAATTAATTAATACAAGTCGATGCTGTAAACCAAAAAAATCAACAATTACAGAAAAAAGGTTATATTGTTCATTAATGTCTTTATCAGTCAATCACTATCCTGATACAATATACCAATTGAGGAAGAAAATGTAGTTTCATGTGAGTCTAAAAGTCCAATAAAGACAAAACGTGTTCGTCGGGGAATCTTTTATGATTCATTGTTAGTGGTATACTAGTTTATACTTAAATTGTAATTATGACTTTAGCGTAAACTTTATTAAAAAAGATAATATAAGGATTTTGGCGGGAAAAAGTCCCTTGAAAGTAGTATTGACCTTTGTTAAGGTTCCTTTGATGTGAAGAAACATTATGGCGATTGTGATTCCTGGTTGCAGTGTTTATTCTCGAGAAGCTAGCTTTCCACTTACTTTTGAGTATAGGTATATAATAGGTATATAATACGTATATAATACTCGTCCCACAAAGTGGTTTAGAGTGTCATCTCTGTTGTGGTACACAAATTTCCCTACTAAAAATAAAGTTTTAAGAATCTACAAAATGGATATGCCCCATATATGCTTATGTTAAACCGATTAAATATTAATATGATATTTTTTTCTTTGCATTTAATTTTAGGATATGCTTTACTGGAACGTGATGATGTAATTTGCAGATATTGTCGAAAACAAAAAGATCTACTATATATTTTAAAAATCGTTGCAGATACATCTGCTGAAAAACAGAAAATGAAAGAAGACACCCTATTACTTCTCTACGAAACTATTTATAATCGGGGCATGGGCATACTTTCAATCTTAATTACACAGTCCCTTTTAAACCAGGCTTGAAGTGAAAAACATATACATCCGGGGATTTAACGGAGGATAACATTCCGCCATCTTGTATCAGACAGATTGAAAGCTTAATCTTTGTAAACGAAAACAACAAGTGATATTAAATCTAAAACAACAACATGAAAACGGGTCGGTCAAACTAATAGGACACTCTCAAAACAAAACAGGACTAAACAGCGGAACGGAGGCGGAGCAGAAACCGGAATACAGAGTATGGAAACAAGCATATTTGTATGTGGCAGTATGGTGTTTGATTTTTCAGTTTCTGATAAGAAGGTTGTAGCCAAGAAATGGATTCTGGGGCCAATATCAGCGATAACAATAGTGTATATCATTTGTCGCCTTTTCTTTTTATATTTATTTATTTCGCTATTTAT